ACATAATTATCTACCTGTAAAAACTTACCAATAGCTAAACACATGGGCTCATGACAATGAACTCACAAATCTATTTTCTTTAAGTACTTTTACTCATTTTTCTTGAATCATAGTATGCTTTAAAGTATGTGTTGGTGACAAAAAGGAAATGTGTTAGTGTCAGCTGCCTCCTGCAAGCCCTGTACTAGGGATCGAGGCCTCAACCTGGGCATATGCTGTAACCTGAAATCAAACCAGCAACTTTTTGGTGCATTGGACAATGCCTAAACAAGTAAACCACACCAGCCAGGCCTCATAAATGTTAATATAGTGATTTTTAAAAATACTTAGTGACAAATATAGCTCATGCATCAACCAATATTGAGAGGGTGGGGTCTGGGGGTAGCATCAAGGGGTTAAGGGTAGGAACTACTTATTAACTTGTATTTCACATGTCAATATTAGGACAATCCATATCAACATATTTATAACATATTGGATGAATATAAGATCTAGCTCTAAATTTGAGGAACTTCAGAGACAAGAGTGATGAAAGATCAATAGTTGTATAGAAAGAAATCTTAATACTGCTCAGTCCCTCTCTTTACTTGGGGTGTCCTCACTACCTGATAACTCTCTCATTAATTCCTGTTCTCAAGGCATCATCACATGCCAGAAACTTTTTTTTCCTTTGAAAAATCTTGCAACTGCAGACTAGAAATAAGCATATAATAACAAAAAAAAATGTTTGAGTACCAATTTCAGTGTCCAACAGTTCTGAGACTCAGTTTCAATGTCAAATAGTTCCTTATATGTACATGTCAGCAATGATATCTGGATGATGGACAGATGGCATTGCAGGTCCGACCCTCTCTGGTTTTGTCCTGGGCAACCTGCAGCAACGCACAGCTGCTGACTGCTAGCCTGGCCAGGAGTCGTTAGTATCTTCTATGTCTGGACTATTTCTCTTCTTGTCATCGTGGTTGGAGCAGATCTGACAACTCCTCTCTGTTGCAGGAATCCCCATGGTCTTGGAGTAGTTTTCTGAAAATATATATACATATTCTCGACCAAAAGTTAATAAAGGAATCTTTTCCATAAAATTGACTTTGGATCCTTTTTATTTTTGTCTAAATGATTTTCCTTTGGCTTGTTTTGACACCATGTGTGATTTTCATGGGTGTCTTGCTGTTAGCATTACAAATGATAATTAATTTTCTACAGTAAAAAAACAATATATATTTTCTATCACAATTGCAATTGTACTAAATTATAAATATTATTTTTTGTGTCTGTCCCACTTCCTCAGTTCTAAGTTTAGTTAATACACAAGAATCTCCACTACTTAGAAGCAGGAAATGTATCTCTCTTGTTCTACAGTGGAACAAAGTGGACTCTCAATAAATATTTGCAGAATGAATAAATCTCCTAGAGTTCTATTAAAAGTTCAGATTTACAGGTTTCATCCCTAAAACATTAAAAGTGGTTCTCACTCTTGCCACTTTGTCTCAGTGGATAGAACGTCAGCCTATGGATTGAAGGATCCGGGTTTGCTTCTAGTCTCCCTTCAAGGACATTTATACTGGTTGCAGGTTCAATTCCCCAACCTGATCAGGGAGCATGACAGTTCACATCGATGTTTCTCTGTGTCTCTTCCACTCCCTTCCAACTCTCTCTAAAAGTCAATGGAAAAATATCCTTAGGTGAGGATTAACAAAAAAAAAAAAAAAAAAAAAAAAAAAAAAAAAAAGAAAGAAAGAAAATGATTCTCTTGTAAATTACTCAGGAACCTTGTTATTCTTAGAACCTAGACTTGGTATACTTAGCATTTCATTAATTTTTTTTCAACCACTTGTATAAATTTGCAAGGGCTGCCATAACTACCACTGATGGAGTGGCTGAAGCTATAGGAATTTGTCTCTCAGTTCTGGAGGCTGGAAGTCTGAAATAGATATTAGCAGGGTTAATTCCTTCTAAGAACTGTGAATAAAAGATCTGTCCAAGGAGTCTCTCCTTGGCTTATGGATGGCCATCCATATGTTCACATTGCAAAATCCCTGTATTCATGTCTTTGCTCACATTTCTCTGGTTTAGAAGGGCACCAAATCACAATGGTTTGAAGGCCCATGTTATGGGCTTCTCTTAACTAAATACATCTGCAAGAACCCCACTTCCAAATAGAGTAATATTCTGAGGTACTGGAGGTTAGAATGTCAACACATGAGATACAATTCAACTCATAACACCAGCTTTTATTGTTTCCTCTGACTCCTCTCCCATGAGAAATGTGCTACGTATACTGAATATATGACAAACTCTGAAAAGGTCTGCTAATTTTGCTATGTCATTGTTAGCTAAAATGTGATGTTGGCATTATATATATACTTAAATTTACACAAGAACTATGTTCTTTAAAGGTTGGGCTAATCAAAGTTTTGCTAATTTATGTTTTTAAAGGCACATAAGAATATGCCAATTAAAGTATTGCTTTGAAAAATCCTTGTGTAAAGTTTAGAATCTCTGTTAAAATAATTATTCTCTTGTACTGATCTTGAAACTTCAAATCAGATTTTCTTGAAAGCAGGGCATTTTAAAATTAGAAATATACAATTATTCTATGGTGAAGACCGACAAATTCTGAACAGATATGAGAAAAAATTTGGGGCCTCTAGGAAAATCCATGATAATGAACTACAGAACAAAAGTTTTACCTGAAAGTACAATTATGTGTACCAAAAATTAAGTTTCAAAAATGTAGAATAAATAAATAAAACCCTAAATCTTACATTTAAGATGATGGTGCATGTCCAAATTCCAAATTAATTCAAAATATATTAATTAAGAGTTCACAATGTGTTAAAGGCTTTGATTTATAAAGATATGACCTGTCTTCAAAGAACTCATAGTCAAGTTATAAAGATGGATGTGTAAATAAATAGCTCTGATAAAGGCCAGGCTGTATTAGGAGTAACCACAGATTCAAGATGTTCCTAATTTTAAAATATTGTCCCTAAGTTCCTGTATTTTCACATTAAAGTTATATGTCCTGATTCTTCCCTCCTCTCTCCTCCCTCCCTTGCTCCCCTCTCCTTTCCTTTCTCCCTCCCTCCCTTCCTTCCTTCCTTCCTTTCTTCTTCCTTCCTCCTTCCCTTCATTCCTCTCTGCCTCTCTTCCTCCATCTCTCCCTTTATTCTTTGGCTATAGTCTTTTTTTTTCATATTATAAATACTAGTCCTATATTTATATACATTGAAGTTTCCAAATTGTCTTTTGATTGTTTTAAAAAAACAGTTTGTACTAATACCTCTCCATGGGTTTATATTCTCTAAGCATCAATTTCTCCATATCATAATTTTGATAATTATAGTATTTTCCACAAAGCAACACATTGAACTTCAAAAGAGTTCATGTGCTTATAATAATACAGGCATAAATATTAGGTGATCTCTCTTTCTTCTGATTATTAGAGATCTTGGTTTTATTCCTAAGCATTTTCTATTTTCCTGGCTATTACAAACTATAGCTGCTTTGAAAATATTTTGATAATGAGAGTGCCTGGAATGGAAGGAATGTTATTTTACTGTCATATTGTCATGATTTCATATAACTGAAAATATTCAAAAAAGTTAAGGGTTTATTTCTAGATGCCTTTCATATTGCATGAAAAATTTACCACATGCTGTTCCTTCTGCTTATTTTCACTAATCAAACAAGAATTTATTACATAACCAACTTCCACAGATTACTAAACAAAGGAACACCAGTCTTCAGTGTTTTTCAACCACATTAGAGGAAGTCATCTGATAAATTGTGTTTGATTCTAGGCATGTGAAGTGAAGAGGATGAGAATCACAGCAACATTTTGTAGTTGTTCCAAATTACCAAGTGTATTTTGATCTTAGCTTTTCCATGACATGTAACCAGATTATGTAATAGTAAATCCTTAAAAATGTTTTTAGCTATGATAATAACACAATTCAACAACAGTAACAACAAAAATATGGCAATTTCCTTGACCAGGATACACTGACTGGAAGGAATTAAATGGTTCTAAAAGATTTAGGTAGATAGGCAAATGAAAATGATTGCTGAATGTTGTAAATATAAATACAGTAGTCCCCCTTACCCCTGGGGGATATGCTCCAAGATCTCCCCCTTTCCCCCCACCCCAGTGAATACTTGAAATCACAGATGGTGCCAAACACCATATTAATACATACTCTTTTTTCCTATACATATATATGATAAATTTTAATTTATAAATTAGATACAGTAAAATTAACAATAATTAAAATAGAATAATTATAACAATATACTGTAATAAAATTTAATGTGAATGTGGTCTCTCTCTCTTAATTATATTGTACTGTACTCACTCTTTTTCTTCTGATGATGTGACATGATACATTGTCTGCATGATGACATGAAGTGAAGTGAATGGTGTAGATCTTTTTGGACCAGGATTGACTAGGGATAACCGAAAAAACAGAAGGTGAAATCACAAATAAGAGGGGACAGCTGTGCATCATCTGCAGCATTGGTAATATGCAGTTTTGAGGATGTATATACATAAATTATATAAGTAAAATAAAATAGAGAACTAGAGCTTTGTAAATTTATTTTTAAAAATATTTTCTTGATTTTTGAAGAAAGATAAACATCATTAATTGACTGCTTCCTGCATGCTGCCTACTAGGATGGAGCCCTCAACCTGGACATGTGCCCTGACTGGAAATCAAACCGGTGACCTCTTGATTCATAGGTTGAAGCTCAACCACTGAACCACTCTAGCTGGGCAAACTAAAGCCTTTATTTTTTACAAAGCCCATACCTCTCTCTCTTCATTTGCTTACATTATCTGACCCTTTCTTCACTTCCCATTACATATATCAACCTTTAGAAACATTACGATATACATGGGTATTTGTTGATTATCTATGTTGGACCATAACAACTCCTTTGTTTGTTTCTGAGAAATAAAGTCCAAGGAAAATGACCATTTAACTTCTTATCTCTTTCAGGAACTTCTGGGACATGCCTGGAAGGATTATACGGCCATTCTTTTCACCCATGCAGAAAAAATAGAAGAGGCTGGGTTCAATGAAGCTGAATACTTACATGAGGCCTCCGATACACTGCTGAGCCTTCTAAACTCTATTCAGCACAGATATATTTTCCAGCATAAAAAAGGAGACGCACTTAATGCACAAAGAATAAAAGTCTTAGAAAAAATAATGGAATTTATAAGAGAAAATAGTTACCAAGTTCTTACCTTTAAATAACATTGGGTTTTTCCTCGTGCACTGCAGGTGGGAATGCAGACTGGTGCAACCACTGTGGAGAACAGTGTGGAGTTTCCTCAAAAAACTGAAAATGGAACTCCCATTTGACCCAGTAATCCCACTCCTAGGAATATATCCCAAGACTAGAAACACCAATCAGAAAGGATATATGCACCCCTATGTTCATAGCAGCACAATCTACAATAGCTAGAATCTGGAAACAGCCTAGGTGCCCGTCAGCAGATGATTGGATCCAAAAACCATGGTACATCTACACAATGGAATACTATGCTGCCATAAAAAAGAAGGAATTCTCATCATTTGCAGCAACCTGGATGGAATTGGAGAACATCATGCTGAGTGAAATAAGCCAGTCAATGAAAGAAAAACACCACATGACCTCACTCATTTGTGGATAATAAAAAACATTATAAACTGATGAACCAAAAGATAGATATAGAGACAGTATATCAACAAGCAGACTGTCAAATTACAGCGGGGAGGGGAGGAAGATCTGGGGGAGATAACAGATCAACCAAAGGACTTTTATACATGCACATATGTACAACCAATGGACATAAAACTCTGGGGAGGGAGGGGATGTGTGGGAGAGAGGGAGGGGGGCAAAAAAAAAATCAAAAAAATATATTAAAAAAAAAAGACTGAACAAAGGACCTCTCTTCCACTATTTCAAATACTTAATAGCTAATTTCATAACATCACATATACCATTTTAAGGAAGTGATGATTTAGTGGGAAATTAGTGTTTAGGCATTTGTATACTGTAAATATAAATGACGATTTGTTTGAAATGTATAACTTTGATATGCAAAAGATAATAACTCACAATGTTAATATTAAATATTCCTTCAAAAAAAAATAACATTGGGTTTTAATGCCAGAAACTTGGTTTCAAAAGTGCCTTTGTTAGAATGGATGTGGACCATGAGAATTCCAATATCCTGCCAGTAAAAGAGGACACTGGTATAAACAAGATGGAAATTACCCAAATGTTCATCAACAATAGCATGGATAAGCAAATTGTGGTATTTCACACAATAACATGTTATGTGGTGATGGGAATGAACAAACACCATGTTAACAGTATCTATGAATTGCCTAAACATAATGCTGAAAGCAAGAAGCCAAACATACTTCATAAGTGTTGTCACAAACTTGATTTTCAACATTTGAGTACATTTTTCATGTATTCTTGTCTTTTTTTATTGATTTTTTTACAGAGAGAAAGAGAGAGGGATAGAGAATTAGAAACATTGATGAGAGAGAATTATCGATTAGCTGTCTCCTGCACACTCCCGACTGAGGATGTGCCTGCAACCAAGGTACATACATGCCCTTGACTGGAATCAAACCTGGGACCCTTGAGTCCACAGGCCAAAGCTCTATCCACTGAGCCAAGCCAGACAGGGCTATTCTTGTCTTTGATTGGTGTTTTCATCTTACACACCTATTGCTAACAACAATTTGATCAATGTAAAGTCATACCTTACTGTTACCTTAATGTGCATTTCCCATACTACTACTGAATTGAATTTTTGTAATCATGTTGGTCATTTAGATTTACTTTTATGAATTGATTGTTCATATTTTTGTCCTTTTTTTCTATTGGATTACTCCTCACAAAAATTGTGTTTAACCAAAACTTTAGAAAGGCTCCTGCACCTTCTCTAGGCCATCTGTGCCTTCTAAAATCTAGTTTTAGCAAGAACCCTGCTAAGTCAGTTTAACCAGAATCCTCTACCTTCATTTTTCTGATTGGATTTCTCATCCTCTATTATTCTCCTGGTGATGTTTGATCACCCTTGCTTGTCTGCAGCAGAGATCCAGTTAGGTCGATATGGCCAGACTCCCCTGACCCTTGATGTTTTCTGTTGGTAACTGTCCATTCACAGATCCCCACCCTGGTACTTGGCTATAAATTCCAACTCCCTAATCTCTCTCCCCACTGTAAAATCCCATTGTGGTTCCTATATCTATATTGGTATTACCATCAGGTTTGCCTTACCAATTTTAACAGTGTCACTGAATATGTTTTTTCTTGAAGACCTCCTGCTTGGCAAATTGGAAGAGCTCTTTATTGTAGATAATAGTCTTCTATCTGTCCTTCATGATGCATTTTTTCAATTATATTATTTATCCTTTAACTTTGTTTATAGTAACTTGTGTCAAATTAAATTTGTAAATTTTCTTCTGGTCATATATTTCTATGTACATGATATAAGGTAGGATTTTAGTTTCATTTCTCTTCAGATGTATAATCAATCATATTTGTTTTACTTATTAAATAATCCATCCTTTTCCTACTTATGAAAGGTAGACAGACTGAGTTAGGTGTATATATATATCCACCTTTATTTCTAGATATATTATAGATTCTTAATTCTTTGCCATTACAATTTTATTCATAGTACTGTCAATATCAGAATAATTAAAATAATTGTATATCATTGCTTGATATATAAAAGATCAAGTTTCCCTTATTTTTTGAAAATATTTTCTGGCTATTCTTAGGCATTCATTTGTATTTATATTTTCAGATCTTTTTTCCTAATTTCAAAAAAATATATATATTTTTTTAGTGGCTGTTTTTATGACCAATGACATTTTGTGATATTAAATCCTCCCATGCAAGCATACAGAATGTCTCTCCATTTTACTTTATTATTTACTTTATGTTACTATAGTTCTTATATTTTTTTTCTGTTTTGACTTGATAAAGTTTCTATAATTTTAATTTTCTTTCTTGATAATTTGGAAGTTCTTATACCCATTAAAGATTATTCCCTTGCTCCTGAATTCAGAACCAAGAATATACTTCTCTACTACTGTTTGATAACAAGGTAACTACTATTTCTTTAACCAAGAACTTTCATTCCCCACTGCATCATCCCCTCAACTATGAAAATAGGATCCTTAGAACACTTCCATCTCCCTTTTTCTCCTTCCCCTGCATCCCCTAGTGAAGAAGTCTTTGGAATCCTTTCCTTTCCCCTTATTACCAGAATTTGCTAAGATATTTAATTAAATTATTTGACTTCCCCTTACAAATGCTCTTTCTGTTTAAAAAGTCCTCTCTTTTACCATTTACATGGTAGTTTATCATTATCTCTTTTACCTTAATATATAAAATTAGAAAGTCCATTCCTCACTAGTTTTCTCTTCATCTCCCCCATCTTTTGTTATCTTTTTGGTTAATGTATTTTCCTAATATCCTATCCTCAGAATTCAAATATAGTAAAATTCTAGTAGAGTATCCAAAACACATTAAATTCTATATGCTCTTTGATGCACCATTATGCAACAGCAATCTAGCTCCTCAAAGTAATCAGCATCATGGATGTAGGGAAATAATTTGTTAGTTGGTAATGGAATAGTTGAATCATAAGAACAGTGATGCAATGGCATGAACATCTGTGCTGTGCTCCACCTGAAGGTGTTGTCAGTTTTTTCTGGACAACAGTGTATCCATTTAATAAATTCACTACTATTGGAGATAATTACAACTTGCAACAAAAGACCCATGTGACCAGAACTAGCTCTAGGTAAAAATGTCCAGAAAGTTCATCTTTGGTATCCTGCCTTTAGACTCTACAATTTACAATCTTTCCTCCAGATGTCCAATCTGTATGCTGTTCTTAACTAGAAGACAAAAAGTCTCTACTAAATTTTATATTTGACTTTGAGTGGTGGCCATGCAATGCAATATCCAGATCAAGTATCATAGAAATGTATATTTGAAACCTATATAATCTTATTAACCAATGTCACCCAATAAATTTAATAAAAATAAAAACATTGAAAAAAAGAATAACAAATTTTATATTTGGAAGTGTTTTGAACATTTTAGAGAACTGGAAGACAGCAGATGATATTTCTGTGCAGCTGGGGTTAGAGTCTCATTAAGTATGTATCATCTTAGGGCATTATTACTCACTCCTAATACTTACCAGGTCTGATTCTTTCCAGGTACATATTACCTCAATTAGCAAGCTCAGATTTTCTTTTTTTTTTAGTTATGTTTATCTACACTCTGCCTTATTTAAATGATTTTCTTAATTTCCTGTTCTACTGATTTTCAGAAACATCAAATTATTTTAAAAAGGCTGTTATTTAATGTTAATATTGGCATTGCTATTTCCCAGATGTATTTAAAAAATTTTTTTTAAGAGAAAGTTATCCTTTCATATGAAAACTGAAGGTTTTAAAAAGTTATTTCTATCAAAATCACTCTCTTTAGCTAAAGTTATCAAAAGTGACTTTTAGTTTGCATTTTCATTAATCTTTTTCAAAGAGAATTCAAATTGTGGTGTTGATTCTGGATGATTCATGCACCATTCTTTCCAAATTTCCCAGGTGTGAAAAGTTGAGTGGTGTTTTAAATTAACAAGTATCAGCCAAATATGTAATCTTATATCTGAAAAGTTAAGTGGATGCATATATTGAGAGCATTTCTCCACTGGGATATGTAATATTCTAATGAAGCAATTTGTAAAACTTTGTCAGAGCAGCCTTGATATGAAGAGTCAACACATAAACACCACAATAGAAATGAGTAGATTTATTAATTTCTATTTAAACAATTCCATAGGCATCATGTAACAGTGGGAAAGGCAAGAAAAGTATCCCTTCATTAGAAAAGATTTTTCTTTTTTCTTGCAACTATTAAGCCCCTGGCTTGTTTCTGCTGCTGTTAGCATTTTAGCCTGACAGATAGGGAAGGATGTTAATGAAGACATAAAATAACACACACATTATTTCACTCAAAATCCAGAGAATTGGGAATAGCTTGTGTTAGAAGAGGGGTGGGGATAAGGCACAAGGGAAAAAAACAAAATACATAAGGGTTAAAAAAAAAAAATACAATATATAATAATTCACACTCTGAAATTGCAGATGGCTCACTTTCAAACTAACAATTATTTCACTGTTTAAGGCCTTTTCTCCCAATTTTTGAAGTTGTACTCCTATGAATTATCATG